TGTGTGTGCGCGGGTGTGTGTGCATGTGTGTGTGTGTGTATGTGTGTGCGCGGGCGGGAACCAAGGCAAGGATCTGTCTCCACCAGTCCCATCATTGCACTGTATTCATACTTGAAGAAGTACGCGTCACACCAAATTGGCGAGCAGGCTAGTCCCATCGGTATGCCCAGGATCTGTCTCCATGCATAGGCTCCCATTCGGACCCAGCTATTCGAGATACACCACTCAGAAACCCAGATGATGTCCTCTTCGTCAAAGATGATACACCCTTCTTCTTTCGCCGCTCTCGCTTCCGCCCAGGAGGGGTACAGTCCGCCGCTGTTGGTGAATCGTATTCTGATGGTGTCGCATGTGCTTCTGTCCCTTCTGTGTTCCATGGCACATTCAGCGAAGAACCATACTGCCGATAACAGGCCATGCTCTGAATTATCCGTGGTGATGGTTTCAAAGCATCTGGTGATGTCGGCAGTGTACACTGAGGAAACCTTCTTCGGGAGATTCGCCGCAAGTTCGCCGATCGATGCTACTGGCCACCAGAGGTTTGGTTTGATGTCGTGGATCCGCAGGATTTCCTTGGCTTGCTCATTGCAGAAAGCTTACACGCTCTTGACCAGGAACCTGAGCAAACATGCGCACAGGTCCGTCATACGTAAGAGGACCGAGCCGACTGTGTTCGTAATCCATCTGAATGAGTTCTTGTGTGCTTTGTACAATGTACACGGTCATTATGTACGGCAGATCCCTGCTGTTGACTTGCATTGGTTCCAGGTGACGCAGCTTCTCCTTCAGTCTGGTGGCTATGGAGTAAGGTAACTCATCGCTCTTAGCAAAGTCGAGACCGGATAGCCTCTGAAGTGCGAGGGTCCTGATGAAGTTCACACATACAAATGATGCGGTGTTGGCTGCTTTGTCCGTTGGGGTTATCATGAACTTGTCCGTGATCATTTCGAACTCCCTTCTCACTTGCACACTGTCGATTGGCTCTGCTACCACGTGCCTCCTGCATCCCAGGAAGGTTCGCATCATCTGCCTGACTTTCTCCTCGACCAGCCTTCTGATCCTCCTTTTTTGTTTCTCCGGTATGTCCTCGATGTCCACGTGCATCTCGAAGAGCTTGTCTAGTAGGCTGTTCACCTCTCCCGCTGCTTCGTTGATGTCCATTGCCTTCATGGGGATGTGGTTGAGTCCCCTGTTCATCATCGCTCTGAGTTTCGGGTTGTCGGAGATGGTGGTATCCATGGTGACGAAGTGCGCTCGCTTGGCGCCGGGGTCCAGCTGGAAGGTGCATTCATTGCGAAAGTTCGCGTTCCTTTCTGCATTGCAGTGACAGTCCTCCTCCTTGTAGTTCTCGAGCCAATAATCTAGGTCAAAGTCTCGGAACACGTCAAACGGCTTGCACAGCTTAGCCGCAATTGCTTCATTATACTTTCACCCGAACATCACATCATCTTGCCAGCCATCAGCATCGTCCCCAACTACTCTCTCCACCATTTCTTTAACCACTTTCCTGATGCTAAACGCTTCCATGATGTGACTCAAATATCTCATGTGCAGGCACAGGGTATGCTTGCTGCGCTCCTTACATCATTTCCGTCTTCCTCTGGGAAGAAAAACCATTTCCCCGGGACCCAGGGGGTCCCACCTTGGTTCCTGCTAATCATCACAGAGACGAAGATGCAGATGCAGAACCAAGCTTGAGCGTATGCGAAAGGGCTTTGCTCTGCATGTATGCACATATATATATATACAAATATATAAAACAGTGTATACAAATCTACATATATACTGTGCAATCGGAAGGGCGGATCAACGAAAAAGATATGTATGAATCGGAAAAAAAGGGGGGGGGGGAAAGTCGGTGAGGAGGAGAGGAGGGGAGGGAGGGAAACAACATTTCTTTTCGAGATCTGACCAAAAAATTGAATGGTGGATCAGACTCATGGGGAGGAAGAGGAGGAGGGAAAAAAAAAAGGGGTGGTGCGGAGCTTGGCCAATTATTAAGCTAATTCGGTCAGCAAGTCGCTTACTGCGCTCATCCTGTCTTCTACGGAGAGATGATTGATGAGCTATGCTCTCCCCTTGCTGCGGCTTCCCTCCTTCTAAGCTCATCGCGTGGCGGTGTGGGTTCAATGACTGCTGATGCCCCTTGCGAATGTGTTGCTGCTGACTGTGCCGGCTGATTGGCTAGATCCACTCCCCTTCTCCCTGCTGCTTCCGTATTCCATTGCTGAATGGCAAGCGCCGCTCCTGCTTCGTTCAGTCGTCTTCTGGCCGCCGGCTGGTCTTGCATGTCTGCTTGTTCCCGCCGTGCTGGCTGGAAGTTGAGTCTCCCTTGGCCGGGAATCTGCGCTTGTTCGTTCCTGGTATGTCTTCACGCCCTTGATCTTGGCGAGCCTGGTCTCCTTGGCCTGGTAGGAATCCTCATCGGGAGGAGGATTCGGGCAAGGGCTGGGGGCAGTCGGTAGTCCCACAGCCTCTGGTCCCTGATGACTGATTCTGCGTCCAGAGTTGCGTCCGCTTCTAGGCACGCGATGAAGCCCATCATGACGTGTCTGATGTTGATGAAGGTGATGTAGTCCAGGACGGCTGGCTTCCAGGAGGTGCGGAGAAAGTGAAAGAGCATCGACGTCTGCACTCTGATTGAAGACATGTTCAGGAAGAGGATGTCCGGGTGCGCTAACATGTACCGTAGAGCATGGTCGAACCAGATTGGTCCTCCTGGGCAGTCTTTCTGACTGTCTCTTCCGCATTGGCATTTCAGGTAGGGCCTCCCAGTGCTCCAAACTTTGCGTAGGCTTCTCAACTGCAAGTTCGGTGGCTGCTTCATCCCTTTTTGCATGCATACAGGCGGGGTATCCCCACACTTGTCTGGATCCAGGTACGACAGCGGCGGGTAGCTGAGGTCGCTTGGTTCGATGGACTTACTCATTCTTCCCGCATGCTCGAGTTCTCCGTCCAGTGCGGTCTCCTGGCACTTCAAGGCCTCCTCATCCGTAATCCCGGCTATGAATTGGAGTGCTTTGATGGACATTGGTGAAAGGTGGTTAAACGTGTCCATCCTCCAGATGGTGTGCCTAAAGCCTACGCATGTGTGCTCGACCCACCTTTCTGACGCTATGGGTGCAAATGCAGTAAACTGGGCTCCGGGATCTGCAGTTGTGTAGCGCCTAATCCTTCTTGGTGGGGAAATCTTTCCTGCTGTTGTGGCGTTGATTATCGCTAGCACTTGCTCCATTTCTTCCAACTCGTCCTGCCCAATCTCTAACGCTTGGATTCCTAATTGCCGAGAATGCTGCGTTGCATTGTGTGGTCTGCGTTCCTTGGGTGCGGCTACTCCTCTAACATGCGCATCACTCACTCCCCAGATTCTGAGGAAGAGACTCTCAATGCTGGCGGTCCTCCCCGGTAGTTCTCGGCACTCCCTATCGTACTCTACTTTGCTCCTTTCCAGTCTCTCTGCTAGCCCCCTAAGCTCGTTCTGGAAGATCACCGCTCCCTTGTCCCACGTGCTGGCTAGTACTGCTAAGTCGCTGAGCCTAAGCATCTCGAAGAAGTTCGAAAACCTTCCGGTGTCCCATATGGCCTTGATTGATGTCATAATCTCCGGTTTGATGCATGTCATGAGTGCCTGCGTTGGCTTGCTCGGCCAAGGGCACGCAGCGATCCATGGAAACACGTCGGTGATCTGACTCCACCAACCACCAGGAAATTCCTCTTCGGGGATGAACTGCACACGCAACGACACAGACAAGCACCCGGTGGGGGGTGGAGGGTTTTCGTGCTTGCTCGAAGAAAGGAGAGCATTAAGGGAGTAGATGAGACGGGAAGGAGGGGGACGAGGGGGGGAAATTGGAAGAGGAGGGGCAGGAGGAGGGGGAGGAGGGGGAGGAGGAGGAGGAGGAGGAGGAGGACACTAGTTATAGCTCTAATACCTCGTTCCCTCTTGTCTCAATTTACATAGCTCACCCTTAGTCTCTTTGCGGAAGCCTCATCGCCACCATTTTCCTAGATCGATTCCATGTACTGCCATTCAGCCTGTTTTTCTCTGCACTGCCATTGGGCGATAGTTCACACAATGCGGCCGATGGGGGCGCCCATCGTCAGCGATGCAAGGGAGGGAGGCTCCCTAATGAGTCCCTATCCTCTGTGTGTTTCGGGTGTGTGCTCATACGCACGCCATGACACGATAAAACGTGTTAGGCTGAGCTCCGTCGTAAGTTTTGCCGGCACATCGCGGAACTCTGGCAGGATCCGGGCATTTTTGTGTTGGTGATATGGTTTAACCACCTGTTTCGGAATGGGGGACTCGTTCCAAGGCTTTTTTACTTCGCAGCTCTGGGAGTTATAAGCTAGTATCTTATTGGATATCTTATGAGAATTTCAATCGAGTTGGGAGCCTTTCTTGGGGAGGGGGGTAGAGAGGGAGAGGCTTAATCATGGGGGGGTGGGGTATTACACAAAGTTAGAATAGAGCATCCGATAAAAAGCAGCAGGGAATACTTTACTAATCAGGCTAATTTCTTATCCTGGATCGAGGGACAGAGTCCATAACAGGTAAGCATTGGTAGCGCTTCGACGAGCAATACGCATGGTCGAATCTCTTAATTAGTTTCAGAGAGTCGTACGTCCTTTGCATAATCGGCGCCGATTCGGCGGGATGCTCATGCAACGCCGTATGCGGTATAGTCGTTTTACTGCGCTCCGAGGATGAGAATTGGAAGAGAGCATCCATAGGTTGTTGGTTTAGGCAGCATAGAATCCTATTGGTGTGCGAAGGTTTGGGGGCTAGTTCATGCAAAGGCTGTCGCGTTTAAGAGTTTGCAAGATAGAAAAAAGGAACTAATAATCTAAGGACCTACCATGGGAGAACTTTGAGATTCCCAAATGTGAACGTAAGAGGGAAGGAAGAGGCATCGAACAATCTTTTCTCAGCATGCAACAAAGACTTGTTCGTACGAAGCTTTTTCATAAATCGTCGATTCAAGCAAAAAGTGAGAACCTCATCAGCATTTAGGAGTCCGGGGTTTTAGCTCATCAAAGAACGAGAGTAATTTCGCCAAAGAACGAGCTAATTACCATAGGACTTACGAAAAAAGGGAAAAAAATGAACAGTTCTTACATGCATCAGAAAAAGCTCATCAGTATGCAAGAGTTCATGCGAAGCCTTTTGCTCAGCAAGGAACGAGATGAAAAAACAAAAAAATTGTCAAAGAAAGGGCCGATTACTAAAGGGGTAAGGACTTCGAAACTCCTCATTACTTCGCATCGGGAGAAGGAAAAAAGAAATCATCAAACAAGGAAGAGTTACAGAACGATCTTCACTCGGCATGCATCAAAAGGTCTCACGTACTTACTAAAATGTCTGTACGAAGCTTCCCACATTTCATTGATTCAAGCAAACAGGAAACCCCATGAGCATGCACGAGTCCGGGGAATTTTTCTAGAGAAGGAACTATTCACCAGAGAATTCAACATGAAAGAATTTTGAAATTCCTAGTGCATTTCATACGGGAAAAAAGAAAAAAACGAGGGGGCGGGGGGGAAGGGGGGAAAAGGGAAAAGAAAAGTGAGCCAGAAAACGCAAAAAGGAAGGGAAGAGGCATAGACCTCTCTTTACTCAGTATGCATCAAATGCTTCAAAAAGTCTTACGTACTTATTCAGAAAAGAAAAATTACTGCTATCAATCTACTGCGAAACAAATCGTAACCTCCTCAACTGAAGCTTAGCAATTCGTTTAACCCACTTGTGAGCCTGGGGAAGGGGTAGGTGGGAATGGGGAAGGAAGGGGAAAGGTTTCGAAGAGATTGAACCTGCATCAAGCCTTTCACGAGACTCCGTTGTTACGCTTCTATGCGTGAGGACCGATAGCCGGGCCGCGGGAGGGGGTGGCAAATCCCTGAGGCCTTTCTGTTGCGCCACCAGCAGCTTCATCAGAGGGGCATCTTTCTCTTCCAAAAGACGCAGGACAGGGCGGGGAGAAGGGGTGGTGCGATGGATTGGTCGGGGGGGTGACTGAAGGATCTGACAGAGAAAGGGGCGGGGGAGGGTGCAAGTCGCAATGAGGGGGCCGCCATGCTTTCGCTGAATCGGCTGCAACATGGTGCTGCGTGGCGGGCTGAGGCTGCAGTAGTGACGCGATGAAAAAAATGAAGGCGAGAAATGTCAGAAAGGCCTGGAAGGCCAAGTGGCTGCAAGCTAACGTCTCCACGCCCGCCGGTCTGTCGCTTCGCTTCTCCATCCCGCCTTCTTCGCCGCTGCTCATGCTTCTTCCGTAAAAACCGGTAGGAGGATTAGGCCCACCGCAATTGCGAACGAGATTGCGGCTCCTGGTACTATGCTCGTGAATGCTATGAGTGCGCCCAGGTACAACGCTTGCCTCCCTGCCGGTGCTAAAAGCACCTCCTCCGACTGACATTTCCCGATTAGTGCGTAGATGCATAGCAGGTTGGGGAGGAGCCCTAGGCAGAATGCTGCAGCAAGGGCTATTGTGCCGAGCGCTGCCGCGTGGGGAGAGGAGGAGGAGGAGACTAGGAGAAGGCCGAGAGGAGATGCGCGGGATGAGAAGGCCGTGGATGTATTGGAAGAGGAGGAGGAATAGTGGGCGGAAGCGGTGGCTGGGGATCTAGCGCGGCTAGCGATGCGGGACATTCCATCCTTTCGGTTGTTGGTCCTTCAGGATAATACCGTTTCCTGGTCGTGCGCTTCCCTTCGGGCAGCGATTACGTCCAAGTCCAGTGGGAAGTCCATGCTTTGCTGGCGGCTGCTGCTTGCTGAGATGCTTCTCCGAAGAAAGACCTGACAAAATTGCCTTTTCGAAAACACCGGCTGATTTTCGTGATTCCTTCGATGATGACGCTTGGCGACGCTTCTTCATTAAATAGTGCCCTTCCCTTCTATTCGAGGCTGCTATCGATATTTTCCGAGCAACTATTCCCGCCTCTTTTTGAAAGGGAAAACAGGATCGGCGGACGCCAATTTCGATATGTGTGTTTCTCGAAGCTAGCGCTTCGTACGTCCAAGGGCTACTGGGCCCCTGAATACTATCTCGGTTACGTTTGTTCGAAGCCCAGGGCTCTGCTGTTTCTGCATGCGAAAAGGGACAAGCGGACACAACCGACAACGAAAAAAAGAAAAGAAAAGAAAAAAAAAAAAAAAAAAAAAAAAAAAAAAAAAAAAAAAGGGGGGGGGGGGGGGGGGGGGGGGGGGGGGCGCCTGGGGCGTCTCTCTCTCTCTCTCTCTCTCTCTCTCTCTCTCTCTCTCTCTCTCTCTCTCTCTCTCTCTCTCTCTCTC